GATAGATAGATAGATAGATAGATAGATAGATAGATAGATAGATAGATAGACAGACAAACAGACCAGACGGATAGACAGATAGATGCACATCAGCTCACATCACTTCCTTCACCTAATGTCCCTGGACAAGCTTGCCATCCTGTGCCTCTAACATGGTCTTCAGAATCCCCTGGGTGCTGCTCTCAGTTTTGCACGTGTGATCACACCGCCAGTGTCTCTTCTTCTCCAACCTTCCTGTACAGTACCCAGATCACCTTGCTCTCTAGGTGCTTTTCTCCAGTGACTGCCCTATGTGCGACTAAGGACCCCATGAGATCAATCAGTCCACAGCCTTTAGGGCACGTCACTGAAGCCACTAACCACTACTGTATGGAACATCCCAATATGTCCCCTGCTCTCTTCCATCATGAGATCCACCTTTTCATTGTGTCCCTTCCAGTGACTACACCTAAGTATACACCCATGCATGTGCTCACACACACACACACACACACACACACACACACACACACACACACCACTGCTCCTACCTTAATCATTTGTTCATTGTCCAAATTTATTGACTTCTTATTGCCCATATATGACACATGCAACCTTGAGCAACCATGACTCCTCCCTCACAGCTTCTAATCCAGTGCAGTTTTCAACCTCGGCACCACTGACATTTGGGACTGAAACATCTTTGTTGTGGCAGGCAATTTGGGCCTTGAGGAGTTTTCAGCCATCTCCACCCACTTCCTCCTGCATGATGGTAGCATCACCTCTCTCCTTGTGACAACCAAAGACACTATTCTAATATCTGAGGGTGAAACTGACCCGACAGAGATCTACTGGCCTATGACATCAAGTGGAGCTTGCTGGTCCCTGGTCCCTCAGGGTCCTGCTGGAGAGGCAGGTTTCCAGATGACAGCCTAGAAGGGAGTTCAACAAAAGGACCTAGGCACCTGCATCCCAGGCCTTCTCAGGGAACTGCAGTGCAGGTCTTTGCTGTTTCCGGATAGACAGAAAACAAATACTCCCATGGATCCAGCTCATAGCATCTGTGATGTGTGAGGACATAGGACACACAAGCAAATGAGTCATCCACAAGACATAGGGAAGCCTGACAACAGACCGGAAATGGAGCCAGCATGGCAGTGCAGGTGGGATCAGGTATGGGAGAGCTAGAAGGGGACAAAGCCAGGCCTGAATCCTGTACTCGGGTTTCTGCTCCCTCCAGATGTGCATGTCCTCTCCCTGCCCAGATCTGACCTGCCTTCAAGGTCCACGAGAACCACGCCAGCCCATCATGCTTCTGGCCATGTACTTCCCATCTTACTTGTGGCCATTTGTTTCTCCAGATAGACTTTAATCCCACTGAGCACCTGGACCGCATCAGCAGCTTCTTTATAGCACCCTTTCCTTGGCTCCCTTCCCAGAGGGAACATACACCTGTCTTGATTGGTTGGTTGCATTAAGCAGAGTTCCTAGAGTAAGGCCAACGGGGTTTTATCTGCTGTTCAGGGGTCAGGGAGAATGGGAAGCAACCGATACACCTGCTGGACTCTGGGTACCTAGCCTATCCATCCAGACTCAGGCAGGGTTGGACAGGGCAATAGAGTGGCTGACCCCTACTGTGGCCCTGAGGCCCCTCTCCTTCAGTCCCAACAGCTCTAGGAGCCCCGGTAATTCTGGGGAGTTACCAGCAGAGGGCAGAAACCAAGAGCTGCCCCACTGAGAGGCAGGTGCCAAGATCCAGCAAGGCTGCGCAGCAGGACAGTTCAGGAACATCTCAAAGGGCACCACCAAATCCGGCAGGTCAGGAGCCCCGAGGGTGTTTTAAAGCCAGCAGTGCCCACAGGACACCAGAGCTGGTGCTAACTGGGGAAGAAAGCCGTCTGGGAAGTCGGCAGCGGTGGGTGTTTAGAAAAGAATGCACGAGGCAAGGGGCCACGCAGTCCCCAGCTTTGCTGCTGGGGGCAGATCACCGGCAGCCGCCCTCGCTCTCCCACTCTTTGGGCAGGCCAGACTGGCAGCGTGTGTGATCAGTGCGGACCCCAAGGCTGGGGAGAGAACAGAATTCTGTTACTGGGGAAGAAGAAAATGTCGTTCCTCTCTGTTGGAGGCAGTGAGGTCAGACAGGCACCAGTGCTGAAGGCGCCGGCCTCCAGCAGAGGAGAGGGGCTCTTTTCACCAGTGACTTTAGCTCGGGAGCATCCAGAGCAGAGCTCCCGCCTCCAGTCAGGCAGGTAGCTGGCAGCAGCTCCGGCTGCCTGGCTCCACCAAGCAGCAGACCCGCAGGAGCCAAGCATGTGCGTGGATCTGACAGAAACTGAGGCTGTGCCTGAATTTTGAGCGGTATCTACTGCCCTTTCTCTTCAAGGAGTTTGGCTGTGGGTGGAGGAGTGAGAGAGCCCTACTCCTGCTGCTTCTCTGATCTTTGATGCTAAGGATGCAAAAGACACATCCGCTTTGGAGGCCGGCTGGTTGCCTCACAGACCTGTGCTCGGCCACAGACCACCACCATCCCACCTAGTCGGATGTTCCTGGGGAGAAGAGAGGGAAAAAAAGCCTTTATCTCCAAAGTCCCCTACAGGAATTTAGACTTTGTCAAACTAAGAAAAAAGAAAACTAGCATTTGACCTTCCAGCCGCAGCCAAGTGGCACGGAAATGTAGGTTTGGGGAACAGCGCGGCTTTGCTGCTTGGCATTCCAAGCTGCTGCCCACGTCCACAACAGAACAAAGTTGCCACACACACACGCACGCACACAGGTCCCCATAACCTCAACACGACAGGCACCCAGCGGGCGCTGCCCTCTGACTGGCGGCAGAGATGCCATAGGGCACACCACGGAGGCGCCCCCGGCTAAGGGCAGACCTCCTGTCACCTGCTCCCCGGACACCGGCGCCGGCGCGTCGGCCGCCCCTGAGCTCGGGCTGTCCCACCCCTCGGCCTCTCTTACCTCTTGATGTAGCTCCTGCTGTACAGGATCTGCTGCAGCAAGGTCACCAAGGCGAAGGCGCAGATGAAGATGAAGAGCAAAGTTCGGTTCCCCAGCAAATCCCGGTTGGCAGAGGGGTCTGCGTAGCGCATCCTGGCGGCCCGGCGCCGCGGACGCGCCGTGCGGGGAGGCACGGCAATCACGCGCGCTGTGCGGGGCCCCGGGGGCCGTCAGGTGGGCAGTCCCGGTGTCGCCAGGAGGGCAGAGGACTTCGCGGGGCAAAGTTTCCCGCGGGCGCAGCCCCGGCGGCGGCGGCAGAGTGAGGACAGGGCTCGCGGCGAGGAGATCTGCGGAGCCGCTGGCTTGCCCTCTGGTGCTGCGGCTCGCGGACGCCAGGGTCCCGCCGCCGCCGATCTGCCCGCGGAGGGGCAATGGCAGGTGCGGAGCCGGGCCGCCCTCCCGCCGGGGTGAGGACCAATGGGGAGCCGGGCCGGCCCGGTTGGGCCGAGACTCGGCGCCACGCGCCGCCCTCTCTGGGTTGGCTCAGAATCCGGGGCGCCGGGCGCGTGGGGCGGGCGGGAGGACGGCGCTCCGGAGCCCCACGCCCGTAGCCAGGAAGTGCGAAGGTTGGTTGGCCTTGGATGCTGCGGGGGCGAGGTGGGCGACGCAACCTCCAGACCCGGGGCGGTGGGGAGGGGGCGGGGAGGAGTGCCAAAGGGCCGGGTTGGAACCGTGAGATTCGGAGGAGCGCAGGGACCAGCGCAGACCGCAGGGCCAGCCTCGTCGGAGGCGAGCATTTGCATGCGGCGCGCAGGACACTGAGTCACCGCGCCGGCCGCGTCCTTGCGCGCTGCTGGAGAATCGGCGCTGAAAGCCGAGCAAGGTCAGCCAGGCAACCCTTCAAGGACGGCGCGCGCGGCCCCTGCATGCTAATGGCCTAAGGGGCTGTCCCTGGGGCCTGGATCCCCAACTCCTGCTGCCTCTGTGCTCCCTACACACACCCCACCTTCCTTCCCCAACCCCCACCCCACCCCCGACACCGGCCTCTACCCTCACACCATCCGCAGCTCGCAGCCTTTCGTCAATAACCCTGTTGTCACCCAGACACTGGGACTTTGTCTCATCCTTGGAACTATTCATAGACCATAGGTCAGCAGCCGGTCGCCTTCGGGTACTGTGGTTGCCCAAAGCTTTCAAAAATCACTGGGTCCAGCAGTGAGCACTCCGTGCTTCACTGGAGAAAACGGTCGCGCGCAGTGGGAAAGCTGTGGTGTCGCAGAAATCCTTGCCGCGAAGAACGCCACCCCTACCGGGTTCCCTGCTCCCGACAGCCATTCCGACACTGCACAGGCTTGGGAGTCAGTCACATACAGCCGGCGTCCACTTCTCAACTCACTCTGTCTGCTGGGGCGACCTTCCCAGGACCTCCTAGACACTCCTGAGGCCCCAGGCTCGGGTTTGCTTTGCACTTGTAACCTGACAAAACTAGAACTGCAGTGGGGGTGAAGGAGCAAGAATTCGTGTGGGAAATGCCCAAACTCCAAACCTTTCAGCCTTGGCTTTTAGCAGTTTCTGTGATTAGAAAGCCAGCAATAATTGCAATTTGTGCTCATTCAGAGGGCTGAAATATTAAGTACCGTCTTTGAAGAATTTGTGTAGTTTTCTATTCGGTGTGCCTACCTGTGAGTAGGCTTTTTAGCCCATTAGTGGGATCATCCAGAAATCTGGAGGGCTCGCCATTGTGTGATTAACATAGAATCCGTTGGCGTTCACACATCAGCCTGTAGCCGGTTGTTCTCACACACGCTAATCCTATCTTCTAACACTTCCTGCAATTGGATGGGCCAAAGTGCAAGTTACCTAGAGGGATTCACCTGGGAAGAAGTCCTTGGACTTCCGACGTCCCGTACATGTTAGGAATGGGGACCCGTCAGCGTACTCCAACAATAGCAACACTGGTTTCGTGCTTTGCTCCCCATTTCTTCAATTCTTGCTTTTTCTTTTCACTACAGGGTCTTGCTCTGTAGCCCTTGCTCTGTAGCTGGTCTCCAACTTGTGATCATCCTCCTGTCTCAGCCTCCTCAATGCTCAAACGTTTTAACAGGGGTCCCTGCATATCACTTTCCACTGGGTCCCACACACACTCTGCAGCAGGTCCCATACCCAAGTCCCAAGCTGATGGAGCGGGGACTCTCACCTAACTAGTACCAATGCCAAGCTAGCTGTGCCTTCCTCAGGTAAGGTAAGAGGGCAGACAGACACAAGAATGAGGCACTCGATAACAATACACGCTTCTTACTCAGCTGTGGAGAGGGACTCTAGTCTAGAAACGGAGCCCACTTTCTGCTTCCAAACTGGGGTCGTTGGAGAGTGGAAGGGAAAGAAAGGTTAAACAGTTAACATTTTTGCCTCATGGCTAGCCCACTGTGTGTATAATCAGGGAGAGCTGCATTGAAGAATGTCAGGTGGCAGATTTAGGACATTACTGGAGTCAACAGAGTAGGTGGGCAAACATTCAGAGAATCAGGTTACTTTAATTCTGGGAAACTAGTTTCAGATCTGTCACTCTTTAACCATATGAAGGAGCTATACAAAACGGAATGGCTAACCCTAGCTAACACCGCCTTCCAGTCCTGGCACTTGCTTTCTTTCTCGTCCTGTTCCTCCTTCCTCCCTAGTAGGTGCTCTTCTGAAAACTGTCTTTGGATGCAAGCTTCCCTAAAGAAACAAAACAAAACCGTTTTACAGTAATGAATCGAAATTATCCCATTAACCTTTTAATTGAAGTATAACACATTTACCAAGAAGAGTAAGGACCATCAATGGACAGCTCACAGCACTTTCATAAGCTGAGTACAGTGATAGGAGCAGAATATGGATCAGAAGGGAAGTCTTCATCACTCCCTAGGATCTCCTCCTGCCTCTGCACACTCAAGGGTTCTGAGGATCAGACTCTAAGCAGCAGGCTTCCACAGCCAGCGCTTTTACCTACGAAGCTGCCTCACAGAGCCGGCTCTGACTTCTAATACCAAACTAATGTATTTCCTGTTTGGGCATTTTCTGTAAATGGAATGTCCTCTGTGTATGGCTTCTCCGGCTCACCGACAACTGTAGGTTGTTCTCTGTGGCCCTGATCACACGTCCTTGAAGAGAGCTGGGCTCTTCTATGGAGGTGATTTGAATCATTAGAGAGATTGATTCGAGAGAGTGCTCACTGATGGCTTTGAAGACAGAGGAGACCTCTTGGCAAAGGACTCAGATGCCCTCTCAGAGGAGAGATTGGCTCCTGGCCAATAGCCAACAACCATACACAAAAAGAGTGATTTCTCTCAACAACCCAAAGAAGCTTTATAGAAGATCCTGAGTTCCAGCTGCCCTGACCTTGATTGTAGTCTTTGATGTGTCTTCACATCAAAGACCCCATGGAGCTGGAGAGATGGCTCAGCAGTTGAGAGCACTGACTGCTCTTCCAGAGGACCTGGGTTCAATTCCTACCATCCACATGGAAGCCCATGACTGTCTGCAACTCTGGTTCCAGGTGATCCAACACCCCCACACAGACATGCATGCAGGCAAAACATCAATGCACATAAAATAAAATCATTCAAAGAAAACAACATTTTAAAAAGAGAGAAAGAGACCCCAGTACACAGCTTGAGGCTATCTATGTGCTCAATGTGACACTAAACGTGTGGCCCTTTCGAAACAGAACAAACCCTGTATCTAGTGTGAAGTTGGAGTTTCTGAGATCTTTGGGACATGTAATACTGTGGCACACCTTTTTGCTTTGCGATTTTAGGACGTCAGCAGGGCCCAGTCACTTACGCATGCTAGGCAATACCATCATGCCACTACATGCCAGCATTATCATTTCTACTGTTGATGGACATGTGGCAGGTGCTGCCATGAACCTTCCTTTGATGCATGCATGCACATCTATTGGGCATCTGCATTTGGAAGAGAAAGTGTTCAGCCGAACACTGTATGTATGTTCAGCTTTAGTGACTACTGTCAAATGGTTTTCCAAAAAGGACACATTTTTAAATAGGTATTTATTTTGATCACCGAATGAGGTGATATGAGCATTAACCTTCTAATCTAATAGGGATGAGAAAAGCACCAAGATTACTGAGAGACAAAAGCAGACCCAGAGGTCCTTGCTCTGTTGCTTGCATGAATCTGCAGGAAATAAGATGGATGCCTGTGATGGGCACGTCTGGGGCTTCATGGAAACACATGTGGGGTAGGTCTCCATCTCTCGATACTCTGCAAAGGGCCAGCGGTGATCTAGCACACCTCTGCTGACACTGCTCATCTAACCCAGCGGCATCTGAAATCTGATTTCCCAGATCAAATCAAAGAGTTATATTTAACCCACCCACAAATGTCTTGCAAGTTTAGTGGAATCAGAGACCTAAGGTCAGGAAATGAACAAGCTTGAAATCTCTGATGCTACTAGCAATGCAGAGCTGGACTCTACCTTAGGCCAAATTTATACTCTGATTGTAGAATTGCAGCAAACCCTTGTTTGTTAAGAAGGACTTAACAAACAAAAGAGTGAACACGTGGCCAAGTGATCACAATGCCAGATTCAGTGGACACCATTTTTATATTGTAATTGCCAGGAACAGGGACAGCTGCATCATTGTTTAAAACACACTCACAGACAATTAAGCCAAGAACAAATGTCAACACTGGCACAATCTGCTAAATTACTGATAACTGATGGGACTTACTCATGCTGTGAGCATTGTCTCCAATATAAAACAGAATGGCTTAAAGAGAGGAAAGAACTTAGCAGTCTCTGTGGGCTTACAGAAGCTGGCTTTTATTTTGTGCAGCCCAATCACAGCCTGCTAGATTATGTAAGTGACATTCCACGCATGTGTTCAAGAAGTGTGTGATAAGTGTGTGCCGTTCTTGTGCCTCTTTACATTTGCGTTAACAAGTCAGGCCTTTGCAGGACGGCTCTTGGCTTTGGGACTGTTTGCGATGAAAGCATCTGCTAGTGTGTGAGCAAACCTGCTCCAGTTGCAACCTCACCATCTACACGGCTGGGCTAACCACCACAGAGCGCACTGCAGGTGCTGGGTTTTACATCATCCATCCTTGTTTTTAAGCACTTGGTGTTGTGTGCTGGAACTATAATTCCCCTTATGAAGTGTGTACACATCACTTCTAACCCTGAGCCTTCCATACTGTGCCACCTCCAACCCCAGAAGCTCCTTCTTCCCACCTTCCATCAGTCAACCAACATGGTTTGTGCCTTCACAGGAGATTAGAGTCCAGTGAGGAAGGCGGATGGACAATCCTTATTGGATGAATAGCTGGGAGGACAGCTAGGAGGACAGACTACTAGGAAGGTGTTTAGAGGAAGTGTTTGGGGCTGCAGTACAATGG